GTGAGTGAGTGAGTTAAAATTGAACGTCACATCGGCAATATTTCAGCCATATCGTGACGAGAACAATTAATTTTATGCATAGTAAGTAATGGTAAACTGTAAAAACCTGTCAACGAAGGACAGTAAAATAACTAGATTATCACAGATTCGAATTTAAAACTAGTAATTAAATCTAAAACATTTCAACTATAGGGGACAGCACAATATAAAAATAGGCTATAGTTCGCCAACAACTGAAGGTAGATCACCATACTAGGGACCATGGGGACTTACAAACTTTCCCCAGGAAACACTACCCAGTCAAACACACCAAGAACTTTCCGTACTACATGTAGACTCCCCAACACTGCAGCTTTCTGCATTACCCAGTGTGTCAGAAGGGCTGTGCCCCCTTTGGAGACCCTGGGCACTCTCCTGATCTGTGCAAAGAGATGAGAAGGTACCAAACCAAGGGCACCGAGAACAATGGGGAGTCTGACGACAGTGTACTTTGGATGCAAGCGAGTCATTTCAAAGGCGAGGTCCACATATTTATCATGCTTTTCCTGAATCTTGCCAATCACGTTGCTGTCAAAAGGGAATGGAATTCAATTTTATAAATAAATTCATTAGCTTTATGAAAATGGACAAGATCAGGTTTGTTGGGAGGTATTCTTTTCAGGCTGTATATGGGGATATTCCACAGAAGTTTGAAAGCAGCATTTTTCATGACGCCCCGGACATGTTCACGGTCGTACCACGGATGGACCCCAGAGTTAAAACCACAGGCATGGCGGAGACGGTAGTAAAAGCAACGAGCCATGCCATCATGTCGTTTAAGATATGCTGTTTGTGCCAAGGAAGGGCTTCCACTGACAGTCTCTGTAAATTCATTGCACAATCGACATTTCATGCAAATATTTTCTTTTAGAATCACATTTTGGCGATTGCGAGTGGGAAGTGACTGGTCTTGTGCAGCAAAAAGAAAGCGGTCAGTTTCAAATTTAAGACTACCCGACGTAGTGAAAAAGTCGGTTGGATTACTGTTCTGCTTTTCACACTGCATGTACACACGATGCAATGGTTTCTCAAAGAGCTTCTCTACAAATGACCGACTCTGAGCAGACTTGGTAAAGGATTTCACCTGGTTTACTCCCATTGCTGCACCGTCCATCAGCACACCACCATCCACAAAATCAGCCTCAAATTTCAGATTCTCTCTAACAACTTTGGCACAATTAAAATAGCTGTGGAATTCCTTGCTGTCATCATGAGTCTTGACATGCATCACCAGAGGATCATCCCAGAAATAAATATGTGCAAAAGTACACAATGAAATTTTGTCATGAAGAGCCTCCACATTAATCAAACCCCGACCTCACGAATTGATTGGCATATATAAACAATTGAGAGAGGAGCGAAGGTGGTGGGCTCTGTTATCAGACATGATCCTTCTGGTCAGGCGATCAAGACTCTGGATGTCTTGTTCTGTCCAATCAAAGGAATAGGAAAGAACTGGCACAGCAAAAGTATTGGTGGCTTTGACCCTGTTTCGAGCATTTAGCTCTAAGCTCCCGATTTTCTGTAAGCGAGTATATACTCAGTCCGAAATTTGCCTTGAATCTTTACATTCTGGAGCTTGTCTCGAACTTACATTCCAAGATAGGTGTAGGCATATGATCTTCAAAAAGATACTCAGTAACTCCTCACCCTGTAACTTGACCGATCCGTCATTAGTTACCTTGCCACGTTTCAGTTGAAGAGTATTACATTTGTCGAGTCCAAATGACATGCCAATATCATTAGAACAGGACTCGACAAGGAGAACCTGCTCTTTCAAATTGGTATCTCCTTTGGCAGGGAGCTCGATGTAATCCAGGCAAAGGAGATGAGTAAGCGGTGTTGGGGATCTGTGCTGAGGTGTAAGATGGTAACCCTCCTCTTTATAGAGCAGGAAGCTCAAAGGATTTAAAGACAAACAAAAATGCAAACGACTGAAGTAGTCTCCCTGGAATATTCCCTATATGCCACCAAGACGTGTGCATTAGTGCCATATTTAGATGGCCAAATATAATGCCCATTTGTTATACTGTTTATAGAGAGAGAGAGTGTCAAGCTGTAAAGTGTCATATTCAACAATGAGATACTTATATTGTATCTAGTCTTATGAAATAACTAAAAACCGTCTCCATGACGATCAATACAATAGCTTAGGAAATGTAATGAGATAATTTATGGTATGTGGATCAAACAAAGTTATGCCACTTCATAAGAAACAGGTTTTAGTTAGAACTATATTGTCTGTTGTCAAAACCCAAACACCTGGAAAATGTGTAATGTCTTTTTGTGACAACAGAGCTTTAGAATTTATATGATAAAGAGGATACAGGCTGAAATATATAGTATCGAACACAGTATTTGTTCTTAACTCCCAAGGTCTATCTTCTTACGATCCGAAACACACACGTGTGATTGCCTCTTTACTCTATTTTTACGTGCAACCCAGTCAGTAAAATGATTGCTCAGCTGGTCACGGTGTCTAGTCAAAATCAAAACCAAAAATGACCGAGAACAAATGAGAATCAATAATTCTACAAACGTTGTCTCTAAAAAGCAGTAACCCAGTGTATATTACTGTTTCAGAATATTATGGGCATTGCTGCTTTTAACAATGATTGGGGTGAGTCTGAGTGTGCTGGCTGATCTTTACAAGAAGTACTACAGCTACAGCTTCATCACCAAGATTACAAGAGAACGCAAACAACAGATCAGGTTTCCTGCTATCACTATATGCACCCTGAACAAGTTTGACATAAGCGAACAGAACCTAACTAACGCAGAGCTAGCCTATCTTCGCAGCTCTGGGGACCTTGCACACATGTCACCGCAAGTTGACTGGGACGGCCAGGAAGAGAGAGAGCTCGATAAACTCGATAATGTTAAATTCTGGGTTGGTGGGGCATACAAAAAAGAAGATATAAGTCATATTCTTCAAAAACAACCGAATCCTCCAGGAAAGCTTGAACTACAGTCAGAAGCAAGATCATCGCTGCTTCACCTTCAACGCTAACGCTGATGTCAATGCTCTTGAGTCTGAGGGGCGGTGGGGTAGCCTAATGGTTAAAGCGTTGGCTCGTCACGCCGAAGACCCGGGTTCGAATCCCCACGTGGGTACAATGTGTGAAGCCCATTTCTGGTGTTCCCCGCCGTGATGTTGCTGGAATATTGCTAAAAGCGGCGTAAAACCAAACTCAGTCAGTCAGTCAGTCTTGAGTCTGAACACACAGCACTGTTCATGTCTATTGACATCATGCAAGATACCTATCTGGAGGGAGCTACGTACGAGGCAGGGGTGCAGGTAAATATCATAATAGGTAAAGATAATTCTGACAGGCACACACATGTGCCTTGGAGTCTAATAGCAAACGACTCTATATTAAATGTGTTCATAGTCTAAGACGAATGTAGTATAACAATCAATGACATTTCCAGACCAACATTCTCCATTGAGATGACTTAACGTCAGACAATTCTATCTTTCACATTCAGATTGCCAGACTGCATGACTTGATTGAATTTTTGTACAACACACTCTGACGATGTGGATCCTTTCTTATCATTTCAGTCACTGGTTTGTCTCGACCATTCTCAAATATTTACAGACTGCCGTCATGTAGCTGAAATATTGCTAAAAAATCCAAGAAGCAGTATAATAACCGGGCAAAGAATGTTTAAGTCAGTTATTTCTAACTTTGTTTAGTTCGCTAAAAATTTAAAGTCGGGCTAAAAAAAGAAGCCATCATGTTTTCATACCAAATATAAAGGCATGTATATTTGGTATGAAGGGTGCACTCTTAAACTTCCGCGCCGTGATATAGCTGGAATATTGTTCTAAGTGGCGTAAAACTGAACTCACTCACTCACTCTTAAACTTCCAATTCGATATTACGATGTCATCTTCTTTTTGTTGAATCAGGTATATATCGATGAACCTGAAACAGCGCCAAGCTACAGTGATCATTCATTGATTGGTGTATTGGTCGGGACGTCGACACGCATAGGGCTGACAAAGAAGAAGGTGAGTTTGTGTCAAGAGAGAATTATGTCTTAAAAAATCAATTTTGAATCCTGAGTTAAAATGCAGAATAGGTTTATAAGTACACACAACATAACATCGAAATCAGTTAATTTCACCCGTTTAAATAACGAGAATCTGGTAAATTCCCAGCAAAGTGGTGGAAAAAGTAGTGGGGCTGAAAAAGCTGGAAGCACAATGATGGTGAACTAGGATTCGAACCAGTGTTGGATGTTTCTGGCACTCGGAAGAGACACAACCATGCACAGTGAATTGCGGGGCCATCAATATCTTGGACACGCCTGTCGGATTAGAGCATACAATCTCATGCATCTGGAATCCAACTTTGCCAACAATAACATGTCCTTACGATGTTGTTAAGAGGCGTCTGTTGATACATGCCCTCAGATGAAGTACCTTCCAGACCCCTATAATACCCGCGGGACGGATTGTATAGACACTACAGCCTCGGACTTTGTCAACCCTCTGGAGTGGTTCGAGGTGTACAGCTTTGACGGGTGTCTTTTGGAGTGCTCCAATAAGGCTGCCATGGATGCCTGTAACTGCACAGCCGGATGGGAACCACAGCAAGATACCTTTCCCATTTTCAAAAGCAATGAACACTTTACATCCCAATGAAAGCAACAACACAGTTCTTGCCATTTTGATGTAAGTATCAAAATGATATCACAGAAGACGAATACGCTCGTTTTTACTTAGGGCATTTCTTGAAACTATTGGTTGGAATCTCTTCTAAGTTGTGGGTTGAGGTTCTTTTTCCTTTTCCCATTTAACCTTAACAATACACAAATAACATTTTACAATGCAGAAAAGATTCACTTCATTTTAAGATAGTTCTTGAACCTGTGGCATTTAAACACATTTGAATTATTAAATTCGAACTTCTAGTTGAATAGGTGCTTTGTATTACATTGACTGGTGATATATTTTTCAGCAAGAGTCAGTTTACGACACTGCTCTGTGAAGGAAGTGAAAACATGTTACGGTAAGATCATTTCCATTTCACTGAAATTGCAAACACGTATATCCTATATATACAGCACTGACATTTTCGTGGTACAGATGCATTATTTTTGTTGATTGTCCATAGTAAAAGCTGCAAAAGCAAGACCATATCATAAGCGTGTGTCTAAACATCACTATAACATAATGACGCTACAATGAAGTCGCAACAGGGTAAGCGCATCCTCAACTGCCGATGGCTGCCAGAAACAAACATGCAAAGGCTCCTTGTTTCAAGCAAACACTTTCTGACATTGAAAACGAGTTCTCCCTCTTAAAACCGTTTTGGTACAAACAGGAAGGGAACGGGCAGAGAGAATCCTTGTATATTGTACACAATTTTTTAACAGGAACTGGTGTCATGATTTATGTGTAATGTAATTTATACATATAATGTACGAACATCTTTCAACATGACACATAGTGACGAGTAAAGTCAATATAAACTTACACAATAAAGGTGAAATACAACTTACTAACACCATATCACTTAGGGCCATATGGATTTGCTTAATGCAAAACTCTTTATTTGTGTTTAGATCAAGTACAGTGGGAAGCCAGGATGGGGAAGAGTTGTGCATGTCAGTACCCATGTGAAGAGACATCGTATGACATACAGGTATCATCCATGGTACTGCCATCAAATGTCACCTTCCCGTCTACTTTACTGAATGCGGCATATACCCCTGACAAGATAAGGTGAGAATTGATCTGTGGTGAAGCATATCTTTGATAAATTAGTATTCCATCTTTAAAATTACAAATTGCATAGATAAGCGATTGTGTAAACAATATGCCCGATACGATTACAATCATTACATCAAAAAGAACTAACAAAGATCATTCATACAAGTATCATCCATGGTACTGCAGCAAACCATCCATCGTTTCTCGGATCTACACTGATTTGATATATCTTTGAATTTACTCAACAAGATGCATAGGAACTTGATAGTTAAGAAATAACAATGGAAACATGTCTCAACAATTACAACAAAGCATACACCTATAGGTTTTGTCACTGAATTTATAATCTCAGCAGGTTCTGTGGAGCAACTCTTTACTCATGTCTTTATATCATCCAGACAAAATTACCTGGTTCTACAAATCAGAATTGTCAGCATGGTAGTTGAAAGGACCGAGCACGTACCAGAACTGGAGTTGGGTGAACTATTTGGTCGGTATCAAGGTTTATTAATTTGTTGTATTTCAATGCCTTTCTTAGGGGCAATGTTTTCAAGTTAGTTGGGTCGCAGTAGCTAGCCCTGTAGAAGAACAATGCAGTCCGTGGTCTGACTGGTTTGTGATCCTTGGTTCGATAGCACCGAATTATTGCTTTTAACGTTTAAGGCAAATGAGCATGTTCAACATTGCTCTCACAGTACACTAAATACAATTTATACAGAATAGTTTACTGGAAGGACTTACAAATGTGTTGTTTAGTTTCTTCTCCAAAAGGATAAAATTTATTACCTTTGGAAAGATAGAACTGCCATTGACACCTTGCTGACACAGAAATACTAACCACGCATACTTAATGTCAAGCTGACATGATATTGTCTACTTGTGCAGCCAATATTGGTGGCCAGATTGGACTGTTTCTTGGGGCCAGCATACTCACCATCGTCGAACTCTTGGAACTAGTGGCCGCATGTTTGCTGACAAGCCTGACGATCCTTTGGGCCAGACGTAAACGTCATGGTTGAGGAACAAAATGGACCTCGGTAATCCAGTTCACCTTTGATAATCCTGTTGTAAACAACTTATTTATCACATGATCACATTCGTTATTGCTTGAAGTTTTCCCTGATTTTGAGAACAAAACATTTCATTGACATATTTGTCCGACTTTTGAACCCTCATCATCAGTGTAAGGTCGAACATTAACTTGGTACATGTTTCTTTGCCATAGACTGACTGCATACATAGAGAAATAAGGGAATGTTGAGGTAATACCATTATATATGCACACGAGGGGCGTTCAAAAAGTAGTCAGCCTAACTATATTCTCGATGTCTAATAGTTTGAAGTAATTATTAACAAAGCCATATACAAAATTTCACATATGTGGGTAATGTGGTTAACGAGATATTAGTCATCATAACACATTGGGGTATAATATTTCTTTACAAATTACAGAAAATGAGAAACTATCTGCCATTTGGTACCGCTTGGATAATATACTGAAAGCCATTAAAAACTCAATTGGTATTTGTTGTCCTGAAACTTACAAAAGTTCTATTGAAGATTTTTTCCTGCGATACAGAAGAGGTAGGGATAAAAGGCTGTTATTCTGGCCCATTTCGAGTTCGAGTCCCGGAGCATTCCTCTCACATGAACTTTGATACTTAAAACTGAACCTTTGACATTTCTCGTAAACACAACCACATTCATGAAACACATTGTGCACATGCATTACCCGCACCCAGGCCCTGTAAAAGCACAAGGAATTGTGGAACTCAATCACTTTGAGAAAATGCCACACTTGACACAAGACGAAAGGAATGAGGTTATCGGTATGGTCAGCCAAGGTGCTTCAGATGTGATGATTGCAAGGCACTTTAATGTGCATCCATCCACTGTAAGTCGACTCAGACAACGTTTTCGGGCTACCGGAAGTGTTGCTGATCGTCCGCGACCTGGTGCACCACCTGTGATAACAGCTCGACAAAACCGCAATATCCGAGTTTCACACTTGCGAAATCGGTTCCAAACAGCTGATGATTAGGCAAGGAGGACAATTGGGACAAGTCAACGTCATTTCAGCGCCCAAAAGGTGCAAGGACGCCTTGCTGCCTTCAACATCCGGTGTCGTCACCCGTACTGTGGTCCAACCTTATTGCATCGCCACAAACTTGCCAGACAGCGATGGGCAGCAAATGGGGCCAATCTTGGCAACAGGACATGGCCAGATGTCATTTTTTCAGATAAATCCAGGTTTAACTTATCCTTTGCAGATGGACGTCAACAGATTTATCGATGTAAAGGAGAAAGACTTGCGCCAAACTGTGTCCTTGAACATGATCGTTTTGGAGGGGGTGGTGTCATGATCAGACCACAGACCATCAGAGGCTGCAGACCATCCAACAGCTGTTCCTGAGAAATGTGTGTCTTTCAATGCCCCAAAGACTGCGAGCATGTCTTGCAGCGCACGGGGACAAACACGATATTGACTGCAAGTGACCCCTCCTCTCTTTGGTGTCGTTGTTGCGTCACTGATGTTGTTGTTGACTGGACATTTTCAGATGAAATTATTCACAGATGTTCACTTAAAACATATCTGCCAGTTAGGTTTGTATATGTTGAAATTAGTGTGAGTATGAATGTCAAATTGCATTTTTAATGGCTTTCAGTATAGTATGCGGTCCTCAGATAATATCTTATAACATATGTTTAGAATAGTATTGGATGACTCCCCGCCATAATAAACATTCAAATATTTGGATTTGCTTGAATAATATTTAGACGGGGGCTGTTTTTTAAGAACACCCTCATTTTACTCTTTCAAAACCATTGTGCCCTGATATTCAAGCTCACATTGTTTACAATATATTGAGAGCTGACACTTGTGTGACCATTCAGTATTTAGTTTGAACCCTTGGCATCATGTAGGAATAAATGAAAACATAAGAATAAGTTTTGTCCTTATGATTACGTCATCTGAAAGGGGTGGGTAGTGTCTCCAAAATAAGATTTTTCAGTAAATATGAAGGGGGGAGTCACTTTAACAAGCCATTGTAGTTTCAAATTGCTTTTTTATCCACTTTGATACCTAAGTATGATTCTAGCGGACTTCTGTCTAAGTCAAACACACAAAATGTTTTTTGCACATTTTGTTTGCTAAAGTGTGTTGCATATATTGCAGATTTTGCGTTTTTGTGGGGTACCAAGACAAAAGTCAAATAAAATGGGGATCGTGAGTCTGGAACATAACAAAAGCAATTTGATTGAGGTTGACAGATAATACAAGTATGTAGAAAAATATAGCATAAAACACCTGCATTTTTATTATTTTCTAGATGAGGCTTACTAATTTTTGAACGCCCCTCGCATTATCAACTTCATCATAAGGATACGTTTCTGACAATGTCTTCAGGAGACTTTCTCTGTATGCAGCTTGAACATAAGTGCAATCATCCTCAATCCGCATCAGAGAATCAATTTGTTCTGCTGCAAGATTTAACTTCGTACAAGTGTCACGAATTGAATACCTTTCTGTCATGTAGTTGGTAGTAGACATGTGACGTTCATATTGTCCTCGTGCTTTAACTATAATAGTTCATGGCGAAAGTGTGCTTTATTACACTATACATGGTGGTAGAGCGAACTGTATTTCTGAAATCTATTTACATATTGTAGTGAGGGAATGGGTTAGGTTTAACACTGCGCCTCCGTAATACATCCATGTGTCAGCTTGGTATAGGAACAACGGCTGAAGTGATGCAGGCATTAGACGTTCACCACGTTGGTAAAGTCCACGAGCATGGGTATGTTGCTGAATAACATCTAAACAGGAGGTTTCTGACGCAAAGCGGGATTCGAACCCACGATTTCAAGGGACGCAACTCTGTACAGTGAAATGCAGCCCGTCCGCCGTCTGGGCAACCCGTGCCTCCTGCACATGTTGTAGCATATATCTATGACTAAATACTGTCACACATAGACACTATTTTTACTGCTTTCAACAAAGTTCCACTCACTGCATATTCCGTCAATTGCACAAGCGTAAGTTTGTAAAGGCACCGAGTAACTCCACAGACATCTCTCTTTCAATTCTGTATGTGTATCATACACTTAAAAACTTGCAGAGAAATTTACGTTTAATGGTTGATAATATTGAGAAATCACATGGAATATAAAACATCATCAGAGTTAGAACGAAGTAGACAAAAGCACGTGTTTACATTTTACGACTCATTGTTAATCTGTTTGACAAGACTGGCTATTATACCAATAACACACGAATAGTCACATACTGCTTTAAATGCAATTCGTTCCTCCCTGGTTGTCCATTATGGCCCCGGCATTGTTAAGCTTTAAACATACATGATACTGAAAGTCTGCATTACAACATCAATCGACAGAACGTATTATTACATGTTTACCTGTCGCTCACGTGAATTCATCTATGCTACTTCTGAATAAAACCTGTTCTGTCAGCCTATTCTGGGACTATACAGCAAAGATTAATCAGATCCTTCACACCGGAGTTCTGTGGAATGGCAGCATGAAGGTCGAGCCGGTTGCCACGCTGAAGGATGGTAGAACATTGCGAGAAGAACTATTTTCGCAATGGCAGGACTTATGTCGTGCCTTCCTGCAAGATACCAGTTTCCACGGATGGAAATATGTTCCTTGTAAGAGGCGACATATATTAGTCAGGTAAGACGAGTCCTTGTATTTCTTATTTGAAACACATACGTATTATTCATGCATTTTATTCCTTCTATGTGTATTTGTCTGTCTGGCCATTTAATATGTCATTGGTTAGAGGCGGCACAAAACGTGTCATAAGACCAGTAATTTTTTAGGTCGGTTTAACATGCATACATTTTATCTTACCCGGAAGTCTGCCATCATGACCTCTCCATCCTCCTGTCGTTGTTTGATGTGTTGTTACTAATATGGATCAAAATAAGTGAGTAATTGGTCCTTTTAGTAGCGAATCCTCTCAATTAGATTTAAATTATTTTATTTTCTGTTTCTACATTCTCGTCGATTGTCTCAAATGTAAACTCTAGGAACATCTCCTACTCTAAGATGCTAATCTGTCCTCTGTTTTTATGCTGAATTACGAAGCCACCTTTCGTTGATTTTATATCCAGATGAGATACGGTGCTGTGGCATCAGTTTCATGGGTACTCTTAAAATATTACGTGGTTATTCGAAAATAACCTTAAATTTCCAAACTTATAAGAGAACAGTCTCTCGTAAAAGTTGTCTGACAATTATGAACTGTTTGGAAGTGAAGTATGACAATAGATGTTTTGACGACCTAAGGGACTATAGAGATCGGACATTTCCCAGACGATATTGGATCAGTACCGCCATGATTGGTCAACTATTTATTCACTCGAGATAATTTGAAAAGTAAGATTTCATTTTATACTATCCCAAAAAAGAAACGCATAGACGTTTTGTAATTTTTTAAAAATCTATTATTTACCGAATATTCAAAATATGTAACAAAAGTGTTGATAACATGACAATTGCACAAGTAAAGAAATCGACTTTACCTGAAAATGTTGATTTTGATGACAGTTCTTACAAGGATTAAAAAGGCATTGCCACAACGCAACAGAAATCACCTTCCAGTTGAAATTGTACAGCAAAGTACTGTCTGGCTATAAAAACCCAGACTACTTTCGGAAATCGGCATTCGTTTTGAAGGAGTTTCAAGGTCAACACCGAACCTCGCCATTGAAAAATGTAGGCTGGAGATTACCAATCTTCTGTTGCCAGGCGTCTGAATGTTAGTCTGAGCACGATATCACGGCTTACAGCTCGTTACAACCAAACAAGCAAAACAAATGACCATCCCCGCACTGGCAGACCTCGAGTCACCACTGTAACCCAAGATCGGTACATCCGGATACTACATTTGCGTGATCGTACAGCCACGGATGAGAGCACAGGAGCCAGGGTGCCTGGACTTCGGAGGATATCCGGTCAAACTGTACAGAACAGGTTGAGAGAGATTGAACTGAGAGCCAGGAGATCCGACGTCGGGAACGTGCTACGTCGTCACCATGGCGCTCAACGTCTCCGTTACCTAAAATTATGCACTTGGTTGTATAGACATTTCCTTCTTCTAAACTGATGCTAAAATACATGTACTAAAGTCTGTTTGTGGACGAGTTATACATGTTTGAAAATACAACAGTTTCGCGAACAGATTTCTGGGTTATGCGTTTCTTTTTTGGAATAGTATATAATGACAGTCTCTTATCAAAACTTGAGTTCGATCTAAACGGAGCTATAGATGAGTTTGTCAATGTCATATTAAACTCACCAGATTGTACGAAGAAAAAGATTAAGACGTTTAAGCAAAACTATAAAACACCCTTAAGTGACGAGTGTAAAAACTGCACGACGATACGCGCACAAAGCACTTAGAAGTTTTGAGCGAAGTCGCTCGGAGAGCAACAGAAACTATTTTTGTAAAATGAGAAACAAATATAAAGCTTCATGTAGAAAATTCAAATCAAACCTGCGTAATCAAAGACTGAACAGATTGTATGATTCTATCCACAATACTGCTATGTTCTGGAAACAAATTCGTTCATTTAGAAAGAGATCAAATCCTAAAAGTAATATTTCAAAATGTGAATGGATGACACATTTCAAGACAATTCTTTCTAATGATGCTGTTTTTCAAAGTGATGGCTATTCCTTCCATGATGATGATATATCTTCGAAGGATTTATGACACTATTCATCAAATGATTTTGGAAACACAAATTTCAGTAGATGAGATAAAGAATGCTATGAATAATTTAAAGAGCGGAAAAGCAGCTGGTCCCGACAATATTATAATCGAAATGATTAAGTGTTCTCAAGTCGAGTTATGTCCTTCCTCCATAAGTGTTTCAGTACTGTTTTTGAAAGTGGCTCATTTCCAGAAAGCTGGTCTCGTTCAATTATCGTCCCTATACATGAAAAGGGAACTCAAGACAATCCAGATAATTGTAGCGGCATATCTTTGATGAGTGTTATTCGGACAATATTTACAACTGTTTTAAACAACAGAATCTCAAACTGCGCAAATCTAAGAAACTTAATTCCTGAATAATAGGCGGCTTTTATAAAAGATTTTTCAATTGCTGACCATATCTTTACATTATATGCAATAATACAAAAGTGTCTATCGCGTAATAAAGAAAAACTTTATGTAGCATTTGTTGACTTCAAGAAAGCTTTTGACTTTGTGGATCGTTGTAAAGTATGGCACTGCTTGCGAAAGTCTGGTTTACAAGGGAAAATGTATTTTATTTTAAAATCTATGTACTTGAATATTAAATCATGTGTTCGTTGTGGGGATGATGTTGGGAATTCGGCAAGGGTGTATTTAAGTCCTCTATTGTTTTCCTTCTTCATAAGCGAACTGTATTATGATATTTCTGATTCAGGTAAACATGGTGTGCAAATGTTTCCAGATATGATTGAGATTTTTATCCTCCTTTTTGCCGATGAAGTAATTTTAGTGTCAGATACTATCGTCGGTCTATAAAACCAACTGAATATTTTGGCACGTTATACAGATGAATGGAAATTATGTGTTAATTTTGAAAAAAACAAGCATAGTTATTTTTAGAAGAGGTGGGCCTGTCGCCCCTAAAGAAAAGTGTTTTTGGAATGGCAAACAATTATCTATTGTTAATCACTATACCTATCTCGGACTAGTGTTTTCCCATACCATGAACTTTAAAAAGCGTGTCATAGATCTGAAATCACGTGCTAAGAAGGCTCTTATCAATGTGATGTCAGTTTCCCAGAATTTTGGAATTTTAACCCCGAAAATATATTTCAAATTGTTTGATGCACAAATCAAACCGATTATGCTTTATGGGTCTGAAATTTGGGGATTTCAACGTCATGAATGTCTGAAGAAACTACACCTTTTAGCATGTAAACGATTTTTAAATGTAGCGCAAACAACACCAACTTATATGGTTTATGGAGAATGCGGTAGATATCCGATATATATAAATTCACAAATCAGATGTTTAAAATATTGGTTAAAGACCCTTGGGATGCACAAACAAAGAATCAAAAAACTAGCTAATAACATGCTTATACATCTAGATGATAGGGGTAAGGCAACATGTGCGTCTCATATTAGAAATCTCTTATTTTCTCATGGCTTTGGATTTGTGTGGCTTAGTCAAACAGTTGGTAATATTAATCTATTTCTTAAGCAATTTCGAGAACAATCTGTTAGCATGTATTATCAAGAATGGCATTCCTGTCTAGACAATATTTCAAATTATCAGTTGTATAGATCGCATAAGAGCTTAATTCAACCAGAACTAAAGCTATCTGTACTGACATCTAGAAATAACAGACGCACATTTGTCAATTTTCGATTGGGCTTGTTAGACTTTTCAGTAAATAAAGGTAGACGATTTTCAATAGACAGAAGTTTAAGGATGTGTCCATTATGTAACTCGGCTATAGAAGATGAAATTCACTTCGCTTTTGTATGCCCACATTATGCTGATTTAAGAACAAAATATATCCCAAATAATTACTTGTTAAAATATCCTTCAACTGCCTTTGTTTCCATTCTATCCTCCAAAAATGTAATACGTAATCTAGCGCTTTTTGTAAAACATGCTGTTATCCTTAGAAGCAATATCTTATCTGAAGTATAATTTCTTTTGTGAAATGTTTGTAACATGTGCTGTATATATACTTGTATTACTTGTATATGGCCCGGAGGCCTTAAGTACAATAAATAATCTTTGACTTGACATGAGGGTATTAAGTGTCCCACTCCTCTGGCACCGCCTACCCAAGTTCGGCGCTCTATGACGTGGATTCGCACTCTCCGCTGTTAAGTTTACCATCGGGTCTGAGGTTGACACTGAGTTTAAAAAAGACCTCTGTCTAGTTAGAATTTGTCAGACACGGCGACGTCTATCAAGGAGGTGTAAAGTGAAAACTTGACCTTAGTTTGGACTTATGTACCATTTACGTCTGTTGGCAATGTAATGATTTTAACGTGGCGTCACATGTCACCGTCGAGGGTGGAATAGGGATACACAAAGAAGAATCTGACTCATACCTCGATATCTGTGTGAAAGTTGGCGGTTAAGTGATTCCTTTCTTGAATATATTTTTGGGAAATCCTGGCATCCCATAAATCGATCCTGTACACTGTGCACTGTTGTCCTGGGATCAGTCATGAATATTTTTGGTTTGTTGTTACCCTTTCCATCGGCGTGGTGGTGGCAATACCCTGTTACCTTAGGGAGAAGGCGACCATAAGTGGAGCACTTGTGCTAAACCCCCTTTGTCTTATGGTCAATAAAATATGTTTAAAACTAACAATATCCCGTTGGAGCCGTTATGTGTTGAGACAGTGTTGGGAAAAGGCTTACAAATAGTATTTGGGAAAGTGTGACGTGGTAGTAACAAGGAGCATGATGCAACGTAGTATTTTTAAAGCGAATGGTAGGATCCTTACTTTGGTAAGTATTGGCTGAAACATTGCTCCTGGAGGGGCAGCCATGTACAGAACACATGGGATGGATTGTGCATTGGTGCTATTTGCAACTCATTTGTGGCACCATAACTTTCACATTCACATGAATATAAAAAATATATGATTGATTACATATTCCGTTTGTTATGGACGTACAACAGTTGAACGATTAGGATTGAATCAATTCTATATTTAGATGGCCATACAAATGGTCCTTTTTAATACATTTTATAGTAGGTAACGCCTTTTATTTTCATATTCAACAATAAAATGTTGAGTTATATTGATCTAGTCTCATGAAATAATTTGAAACATCTCCATTATAAGCAATACAAGGGCATAGGAGCGAAACAAATACACTTTACCGTATTCAGCAATGAGATGATTTGTGATACATATGGATCAAACAAAGTTACGCCACTTCATAAGAAACAGGTTTCAGCTGGAACTATATTGTCTGTCGTTACAAACTAAGCACTGACGTTAGTATTGCACATTTCACGAAAAAGTGTAATGTCTCGGAACTGTTTGTATCATGAAGAAGGTACAACCTGAAATTTTGCTAAACAAAGTATATGAACTATGTTCTCAAGGGCTCGCTTCTTATCATTAGAAACACACTCGTCTGATTGCCTCTTTACAAAAAGGGTAATGTGGAACCCAGTCTGCAAATCCATTACCCACCTGGTCCACTGTACTGTCTAGTCAAATGCGAAACGCCAAAGCACCCGAAGAGCATGAATGAGAATCAAAAATTCTTCTGTGTTGTCTCTAAAATGCAGTAAACCAGTATATATTTCTGTTTCAGAATATTATGGATATTGATGCTTTTAACTATGACTGGAGTGAGTTTGATTTCGCTGACTAATCTTTACAAGAAGTACTACAGCTACAGCTTCATCACCAAGATTACAAGAGAACGCAAACAAAAGATCAGGTTTCCTGCTATCACTATATGCACTTTGAGCAAGTTTGACATAAGCAAACAGAACCTAACTAACGCAGAGCTAGCCTATCTTCAAAGCTCTGGGTACCTTGCACAAATTTCACCGCGAGTTGACTGGGACGGCCAGGAAGGGAGAGAGCTCGATAAACTGGATAATGTCAAGTTCTGGGCTGCTGGGGCATATAAAAAAGAGGATATTTTCAAAGTCATATTCTTCAAACATAACCGAATCCTCCAGGAAAGCCTGAACTATAGTCAGAAGCAAGATCATCGCTGCTTCACCTTTAACGCTAACGCTGACATCAATGCTCTTGAGTCTGAAAAAACCAAATTGACAATGTCTATTGACATCATGCAGGATACCTATCTGGAAGGAGCTGCATACGAGGCAGGGATACAGGTAAATATCATAATAGATAAATATAATCCTGACAGGCACACACATGTGCCAAGGGTCGAAAAGCAAACTATTTGTTCATAGTCTAAGACGAATGTAGTGTAACAATCTCTGACATTTACAGACCAGCATTTTGCCATTATTCCAGATGAAGTTACGTCAGACAAATCTTTTTTTCAGATCATCTGAACGTATTGATTGCCCGACTGTGTGACTTGATTGATTTCTTGTACAACACACACTGATGATGTGGACCCTTTCTTATAAATTCACTGTCACTGGTTTGTCTGGCCCATTCTCAATTATTTACATTAGTAAACCACTAGGAAGGAATATTATCTCTGGGCAAAGAACATTCAAGACGGTTATTTATAACTTGCAGTTTGCAGGCTAAATCTGAAGCCATATTATGAAAACAATGGAATGTATAATTGTTATCATGAGTGCAAACTTCTAATCTGGTGCCACAATGTCGTCTTCTTTTTGTTAAATCAGGTATATATCGATGAACCAGAAACAGCACCGAGCTACAGTGATCATTCATTGATTGGCGTATCAGTCGGGACGTCGACGCGCTTAGGGCTAACAAAGAAGATGGTAAGTTTGTGTCAAAACCAAAGTATATATTAAATTATGAGTCATGGGTTAAAATCGGTTTATAAGTACACACGATATTACCTCTAAATCAGTTAATTTCACCAGTATAAATAACGCTAAATAATTTGGTATATTCCCAGCAAATTGGTGGACAAAGCAATGGGACTGAAATAGCTAGAAGCACAATGATGGTGAACTAGGATTCGAACCAGTGTTGGATGTTTCTGGCACCCGGAAGACACACAACCCTGTACAGTGAATTGCAGGGCCATAAATATCTTGGACACGCCTGTCGGATTAGAGCATACGATCTCATGCATCTCGAATCCAACTTTGCCAACAAATAACATGTCCTTACGATGATGTTAAGATGCATCTGTTGATACATGCCCTCAGATGAAATACCTTCCAGACCCCTATAATACCCACGGGACGGATTGTATAGACACTACAGCCTCGGACTTTGTCAACCCTCTGGAGTGGTTCAAGGTGTACAGCTTTGACGGGTGTCTTCTGGAGTGCTCAAATAAGGTTGCCATGGATGCCTGTAACTGCACCGCCGGATGGGAACCACAGCAAGATACCTTTCCCATTTTCAAAAGCAATGGACACTTCACATCCCAAGAAAGCAATAACACAGTTTCTGCCATTTGGATATATGTCTCAAAATTATGTGTAGTAAACAGGGATTAGTACAACGGTGTCCTGTTTCTTTTTCATTTACTAAACTAAGGCAGTGTGCCTTTAATATCATAGACTACGAACATGGCTGTTTTCACTTAGGGCATTTCTTGAAACTATTTGGAATCTCTCCAAGCTGTTGGTGTAGCGTTTTACCTTTTCTCCCAATACACAAAAAAACATCTTAGAAAATACAGAAAAGTTTCACGTTAGTTTAAGATAGTTCTTGAACCTGTGGCATTTACACACATTTGAATTACTGAATTCAAGAATTTAGTTGCACACATGCTTTGTATTACATTGACTGGTGATGTATTTTTCAGCAAGAGTCAGTCTGCGGCACTGCTCAGTGAAGGAAGTGAAAATATATTACCGTAAGATCGTTTCTATTGCACTGAATATACAAACACGTATATACAGCATTGACATTTTCCATGGTACAAATTCATTGTTATTGTTGATTTCCCATGATAAAACCAAAAAAAATGTTGCATGTGTCTCGCAAGCGTGTGTCTATTAATCACTGTGACATACTGACGCTACAATGAAGTTGCGTTAGGATAAGTGTGTCCTGAGGTTGCGATGGCTACGATAAACAAACATGCAAAGGCTCCTTTTTCAAGCAAGCACTTTCTGAAATTTGGAAACGAGTAAGTTCTCCTGTTGAAAAAAGGAAGGGAGACTGCAGAAAGAATACTTGTAAACTGTATACGATTTTTGCCATATGTTTTGAAGAATGCAGGCTGATTAGTGTAAGAAGAACAGGGACAAGTGTCATGATTTATGTGTAATGTATAATGTATGCATATGATGTACGAATATCTTTCCACATGACACATAGTGACTAGTGAGGTCAACATATTTACTTACACAATAAAGGTGAAACACAACTTACTAACGCCATATCACTTAGGACCATACGGATTTGCTAATGCAAAACTCTTTGTGTTTAGATCAAGTACAGTCGGAAGCCAGGATGGGGAAGAGTTGTGCATGTCAGTACCCATGTGAAGAGACATCGTATGACATACAAGTATCATCCATGGTGCTGCCATCAAATGCCACGTTCCCAATTACTTTACTGAATGCGGCATATACCCCTGACAAGATAAGGTGTTGTGAATGATGATAAGCATTTCTTTAAGGAATTAATATTCATCTTTAAAATTACTTATTGCGATGCCCAGATAAGTGATTGTGCAGACAATATGCATGAAACAGTCTCCAGGTACGATTACAATCATTACATCAAAGAACTAACAAAGATCGTTCATACAAGTGTCATCTATGGTACAGCAGTCAACATCCATCGCTTCTCGGATCTGTACTGATTTTCTATACCGTATTTCCTCTAATAAGCGCCCGGGCGCATATTTTTTCAACGGACTCCTAGACCCGGTGCTTATTGCGCTTACTGGATGTACCGCAATTAATTGTAAGTAAGCGTTAGGGACCACTCCTTAATAAATCTATTTTTGGATCAAAGTAAAAGACATTTATGAAAAAACGTACCCGATGCTCATCAGAGACCCAGCGCTTATTTCTTAAACCACTGCTCTAACCCTGGCGCTCATAAGACGTCCGGCACACATTAGATACCCGATGCGTATTGGAGGAAATACGGTATCTTTAAACTTACTCAACAAGATGCATAGCAAATTGATAGTTAAGAAACAACAATGAAAACATGTCTCATTACGACTGCATTCTTTAAAACAAAGCATACGCCTTTAGGTTTTGTCACTGAATTCAGGATCGGAGCATGTTCTGTGGAACAATTCTTTACTCATGTTTTCCTTATATCATCCAGACAAAATTACCTGGTTCTACAAATCAGCCTTGCCAGCATGGTAGTTGAAAGGACCGAGCACATACCAGAACTGGAGCTGAATGATATATTTGGTTTGTATCAAACTCTATTTTTGTGATGCGTTTCTTTGGGAAAGTGTTTTCAAGTTAGTTTGGACGCAGTAGCTCGCTGTGTAGAAACTGTGTTCTGCAGTCATGAACGTGATATATAATGTTTTCATACTGTTCAGTCCATGGTCCGACTCGTTAATTTTCCTTGGTTTGAGAGCACCGAATTCGTGCTCTTAAGTCTATATGAAAATGATCAATTTCAACATTGCTCTCACAGTACCCTAACATTAATAAAAAAAACACATGCTCAAGTGGAAATATCAGTGGATCAGTCATCCGGGCGGTACTGCTCATGTTGATCAATTCATTTATCTTTTAAATGGATCAGGATATCACATTGTTCAACATTGTCAAAGTGATTTACGAAACTCGTGCCAGAATTCATGTGCTACCCTCACTCCCTACCCTCACTCCCCAAATGATACCCAAACGTGCACATATGCACTCTTGAAATAGTTTTCTATTAAGTATATTCGAGCATGAAGATAGGAATGCCACTCACACACTGTTGACACAGAAATACTGACTACGCATACTTAATGTCAAGGTGACATGATATTATCTACTTGTGCAGCCAATATTGGTGGCCAGATTGGACTGTTTCTTGGGGCCAGCATACTCACCATCGTCGAACTCTTGGAACTAGTGGCCGCATGTTTGCTGGCAAGCCTGACGACCCTTTGGGCCAGACGTAAACGTGATGGTTGAGGAAGAACATGGACCACGGTAATGTTTGACCTTTGAGGATTCTATTCTTAATAGCAAATATATTTCATGTTCTCATTTGGTTTGTCTGAAGATTTCCTTTTTTATATAAAACAACATTTTAGGGAAGTGTTTGTTAGACAGTGTAACATGATCAGTGCAGTTCTTTTAGGTCGAAAGTCAATTCAGGTTTAGTTGTAAAAGACATAATCATTAGCACAACATTAAAGTTTTCAACTTCAGCATAAAGATAGGTTTCTGACAAAGTCTTCAGTAGCCAGTTTCTGTACGCAGCTTGAACAAAAGGTGAGCGTCGAAGCTTGGGGCGCGAGCCTGAGTGGAGCCGCCTCGGGTGCAGATCTTGGTGGTAGTAGCAAATACTCAGAGAATCAATTTAACTTCTTACAAGGGCCAGTACTCATGTTAGGTAAAGCCTCAATATTTATAGGTTTTTTGGTAAAGTCAGTTCGATACAAGTTTCCTCGCAGTAGACTAACTGCGATAAATAAAGAAATAAGGGCATCTTCAGTTTCATATAATGCTCTCACAATATTTAAGTTTTCCACTTCAGAGATGACAAATCTTACTGTTCATTCACATGGCCAGTATTTCGATAAAATAATCATTTCACTGTTAAGCTAATGCGTTTGAAAACCCTAACAAACCAACTTGATAAATGCTATACTCGTGCAAACTCGTGAATACAGCGAACAGTTTTGGAACCATTTGTTGGAATGTGGACAAATAGCATTACTGAATATTGCAAAATATGCTGCTGATACATTGATTGCACCAAAACAAAACTGCTGTCAAAGTAATTCATACCGTTTGTTGACCAGCTGATGACAAAGAATAGCCACTAATATAGCACTGACCATATATTATCACAATTCTCTGTCAAGACTATGAAAGAAACATATTCAAAATACAAACATATATCATTTAGATCGTAACAATCAGGACCGTTCATATTCCTTCAAAATGTGTGATAATTATTAAGCAATTCGTGAGTGGGACGCTTCGATATAGATCGACAAGGAAAACGAATCTGTATGGAAACGTAGGACTTACGAAATATAATAAGTTGTTATCCATAGGGTTTGTCAATATTGTACTTCCAAACTTCTAAAATGCCCCTCAAAGAAATTGTTACAATTTTGTCATTTTGTCATACATTGTCATGCATTTAGATACAATATTATTTGCTGCTTGCCTTGTTTCAGATTGCTCCAGTCTCGAGGAAGCTGATCCCTGCTGTGTTGAATTGTAGATATTCATGTTCCATTGAATACATATGTCGGTTTTTTTAAATAATAACGAGGCTTTGTGTTGTGGTTACTTTCCTCCGGGAAGTAAAAGTTTAACGCTTCACTGCGTCCATCTAAACATTGTAAAATAAGGCTTCCAAACACAGCCTTGAGAAATATTGGTTGATGTATGTTGTCAGAGATAAGCCTTAAACACATCACTGACATGAAATGTGTAAATTATTTGTAGTTTCAAGCATGAGTTAGAAGAACTAAACGTCGGATCCCATCGTATGATATAATCCCTACCCACCAGCAACACATACCTCGACTACCTGGAAAATACATTTGGTTCATTCACTCACTTTAAAAGGAAGCACTGTGGAGCCCTGTTGTGCCATGTTCGAGAAACGCCGTCGCCACAGAATGATCAGTTTCATCTGCATCAAATGTTTTCAGGAAAGAATGTGTGTCTTCTCTTTTCACAAAATCACATTTCAAGGCAAAAGTTGTAATAACATATATTCATAAAGCTGTATGGTGATGTTGCCTTTTGTTTGGTTGATTGGTTTATTGGTTGATTTTTCTTTCTTTCCTTTCTTTTGTATTGCTTTAATTCTTAAATATCATCGAAATGAAACATTTATATACATCACGGATATCATAGGTTGTTTTAGTTATAGGCGTACATCTGGTGATCAAGGGTTGTTGTAAGAAAAGAATCCGGATCATTATATTCAAAGTTTTCTTACTTTGAAAGAGGAAAACAAATATACTTATTTTCTAAGCTGTGTGCTAAGTTTCTTTATGCTTGAATGACTTGGGTTACAATGTGCCTGGACATTTGATCATGAAAAGGACAACCATGTTTCATTATGAATGAAGATTTATATGTATCCTTCAAGACCTCACACATTCACCCTAAATTAATGCTGTCTAAAGATTCCAAATCTTCCCCAGAAAACATTAAACAGAACAATCTAGTGATCAGCTTTGATATATTCTATAAATGAGCAGTAAACCTTTAGAATAGAAACTAATTAATTCCTCTCTGCCTTAAATGTACATATAACTGTGGTTACCGAGATCCTCTTTGTTGTTTTGCCTGTTCATAAACAAGGTGGCAATACAGTCGATGATTTGATCATGAACATGATCTAATAACCAGCATGGGTAACGTTATCATGGTATATATTGTTGGTTGGTTGTGTATTACAGCTATATGGCGTCGGTTTGTAAATACTCGAATCTGGACCACACAATCCAGTGCTCAACAGCATGAGCATTGGTCTGGGATACGATGACATGTGTCAACCAAGTCAGCGAATCTGACCACCCGATTTCGTAGGTCACCTTCTTATGAAAAGCATGGGTTGTTAAAGATCGATTTTAACCTTTATATATTCGGGTAGTAGATATTGTCAGTATGAAACAAACTAATGAACAGAATTAACCAACACTGTGTTATATTACCTCACCGAGGGCAAATGTAAAACAAAATGAACGTACTTGATACCAAGTACAAAATAATCATTTAAAACATCAGAAAAATATTACCATTTCATGAGGGCACTGTAGTTTTTCCAACAGAATTAGTGTTTAGTGTTCTTCGCTGTATTAAATATTTACACACACACACACAAACACACACACACACACACACACACAATTTTATTAAAAAGAGGACGTTAAGGTAACCGGCATATACACTTATCCAACCAATGTTGATAGACCAACATTATTCATTTAACAACAATATTCTAATGTGTGGAGGTCATCATGCGAATGTGGATCGTAAATATCTTGTATTAGGAAAACACTTTGTGTTTTGAGAGCCTTGCGTACATATTACTGCACCGGACTGTACTATTGGTTTGCAATGATCACAATCAAACAAATACAAAGATTCTACACATAATTACGGTTCTGAAAGTTTTATTAACATACAGTACATATGATTATATAATTAACTTCATAGATGTTTGTCGGTTCAGGTAATCGCAATAAATGTGTATTTCCTGCCCAAACTCTAAAGGTCTGTAACATATGCAGTACCGTTAAAAGAGTGAGTGAGTGAGTTTAGTTTTACGCCGCACTCCGCTATATTCCAGCTATATGGCGGCGGTCTGCAAATAATCGAGTCTGGACCATACAATCCAGTGATCAACAGCATGAGCATCGAGCGCAATTGACATATCTCAACTAAATCAGCGAGTCTGACTACCCGATCCGTTTGTCGCCTCTTACGACAAGCATGGGTTACTGAAGGTACATTATAACCCGGACCTTCATGGGGAGACAAGCATGGGTTACTGAAGATACATTCTAACCCGGACCTTCACGGGTAACCGTTGATAAGAGAGACCAGGATTTCAACAAACTGCACAAATGCCTAGCAACTGTAAAAACATCGATCACTTGGGCAGCTATAACATGCACTCAGACAAGTTCCGAGAAAGCAAATTAAAAACAATCGGATGATCTGTTTAAATCACATCACATATAACCTATGACAGGTTGAACAAAAACAAAACAAAAGCTCGTGTTAACAATTTACAGTTCAATTGTAAATCTGTTTGACTAAGATGAATATTACACAGATAACACAATTCGTCACACACTGTGTTCAATAAATATATTTACTCAGAGGCTGCTATAACAGCTCTGGCACTGTTGACCATTAAACAATTATGATATTGTATTACTTCATCAAACAACAGGACGTCTGGGGTGATTTCATTGATGATACTCTGAAAACATGACCTGTCAACCTTTTCCAGACCACACAGCAAGCATTGATCATATTCTTTGAATGCGGCGTTGTCTCCACTGGCAGGATGAAGGTGGAGCCCATGGTCCCTCTTAAGGATAGTGTGACATTGCGGGAAGAAGTCATATCTCAGTGGCGGGACTTATGGCGAGACTTCCTGCAAAATACCAGCCTCCATGGCGAGTAAGAATACCAATTGTCACAAGCGTCATAAAATTGTCAGGTGAGTCGCGCGTCATTTGGGGTAGTTTGTGTTTTCTTGATCGAGGATAATCCGCATGGAAATGAATAAATGTATTGTTTTGATGTTGCTTGACGCTGCACTCACGCAATATTCCAACTATACTGCGGCAGCTTGTAAATAATCGTGTCTGGACCAGAAAATCCAGTGCTTCACAGCACGAGCAGCGATCTAAGCTGTGATATAATGACTTGTTTCAAGCCAGGTCAGCAGGCCCTGACATAACCCGATCCCGTTGGTCGCTACTTACGACAAGCATGGGTTTGCTGAGATCAATTCTAACCCGGATCATCAACGGTGTGTGAATGGGAAAGGTTGAAGTACACTCTTCAAAAGAAGGCATAGGTCAAAATAAAATGATAACGCGTATTTAAAATGTATTAAACGTATTTAACGTAACGCTATATTGTTGCAATTGTCAGTATTATTCAATTAGGTTCCACTTTCGCGCACGAGGTGCGTTCAGGTCCGGTACGCACCGCTGTGCCAATAAACGCCACGCCAGATGGATTGCAAAATTTAATTTGGGACTTTTGCTTGAAATTCTTTGCCGTTCCGCCGGAATTTGGCAGTTCCGCATTACCGGGAGATATGCCAATGATGATGAACGCGCGTCGTATGCGTATTTTGTACGGTACGGCA